GAAAATCGCAACTTTTAGATACAAATGGCTGGAAAATCGCAACTGTAAATTGCAAATGTAGCACGCGGAGCGCCTCCGCCGCTCCAGCTTTTTGAGGGTTAATTACTTCACCTGCCAGTTTCTCATGCCGAAACTTCGAGAATTACTTCACCTGCCAGCTTCTCATGCCACCTTTTCGAGAGTTACTTCACCTGCCAACTTCTCGTGCCAACTTTTCGAGGAGTTACTTCACCTGCGAGCTTATCATGCCAACTTTTCGAGAGTTACTACACCTGCGAGCTTCTCATGCCAACTTTTCGAGAATTACTTTACCTGCCAACTTCTCATGCCAACTTTTCGAGAAATACTTTACCTGCCAACCTCTCGTGGCAACTTCACCTGCCAACTTTTCGAGAATTACTTCACCTGCCAACTTCTCATGCCAACTTTTCGAGAAATACTTTATCTGCCAACCTCTCGTGGCAACTTTTCGAAAAATTACTTCACCTGCCAGCTTCTCATGCCAACTTTTCGAGAGGTACTTCACCTGCCAACATCGCCTGCCAACTTTTCGAGAGTTACTTCGCCTGCCAACTTCTCGCGCCAACTTTTCGAGAATTACTTCGCCTGCCAACTTCTCATGCTAACTTTTCGAAAGTTACTTCACCTGCCGGCTTCTCACGCCAACTTTTCGAGAGTTACTTCACGCGCCATCTTCTCGTGCCAACTTTTCGAGAATTACTTCACCTGCCAGCTTCTCACGCCAACTTTTCGAGAGTTACTTCACCTGCCAACTTCTCATGCCAACTCTTTGAGAGTTATTTCACCTGCCAACTTCTCATGCCAACTTTTCTCTTGAGTTACTTCGCCTGCCAACTTCTCATGTCAACTTTGCGAGAATTACTTCACCCGCCAACTTTGCCAGCCAACTATTCGAGAGTTACTTAACCTGCCAGCTTCTCATGCCAACTTTTTGAGAATTGCTTCGCCTGCCAACTCCTCATGCTAACTTTGCGAGAGTTACCTCACCTGCATCAACTTGCCTCTATGCTTCCGGGCCACTCGTCGTCTAGTTTATTTTTTTCGTTTCGTTCAACCAAAAGGACCACCGCTGGGCGAATCTATGTTCGGGCGGTCCAACCGCAGGTCTGGAGTTCGTGAGCCGCAACGTGGTGCCTTGGACCACCGGGTCCCTGAAAAATGGAAGGGAAGGAGGGTGAATTGTGGAGATCTCCAGTTATTGTAACCCATCTCCCCTTTCCTCGGAAGACTAGACAAATGGAATGGTTCAAATTATGGCCGGTTCTTTGTTGGACCCATGCCGCCCAAGGTGCCGCCGTTTTTGGGGGGACTACCAGAAAAGGCCCCTAATTTTGGCAAACCCCACGTGGGTGTGTCTTTTCTTTTTGGATTTGAACTTCCAAATGGGCGCAACGGTGTCCCTTTCGGTGTCCAATTGAAAGCCGGAAACAAAGGGGTACCCTACAAGAAACGAGCCACATAGTGAACCTGGCGCGTAGACTAGCCCAACCTGGTGCTGCCTAAAAAACACAGAAAAGACCCCTGACGTTGGAAACAGACCTGGTGCAATCACATAGCCCTGCGGCAGAAAGCCGGAGCCGGCGGATGTGGTTTCCTAGCGTGGGAAGTCCACGGCCAATGTTTCTCTGGGCCCACAAACTGTGGCTCAGGTGAGGAAACGCTTCGACGGCCCATGGGAAATGAATGGGCGTGTGTTTTTTGAGTGCACTCCTTGTTTCATGGTTGTAAAGGAAAGCTAAAAGGCAAACCACCATGTTACGGGGGTCCCAAAAAGACAACACACCCACAGTCCAAGACTGAACTCGTGTCTCATTTCGGCTCTCTGAAACGGGTCAAAATGAAAGCCCGGAGTGCACCGATGGAGTGCCTGGATCTTTGGCGGTTCTTTCTATACATGCTTACCTTTTGGGGGGCTTTCAGTTGTTGTGCGTTTCACAGGCTTTACTTCTTCGTTCTTTCTTTCTTTCTTTTTTTGGCCTTTATGTTCTGCTACCTTGTTTTGTCCTGTCCATGTTTGCACAAGTGTGGTTCCACCAGCGTTAAGCTAGAAAAGCGTCGTTCCAGCCTCTACGACATGGGTAGACCCAAATCTCCCGCCAGAAAACGCCAGCGGGACAAGCTCTCAGGGAACAAAGGCTGTTGTCCCGGGCTCACATTTCCCATAAGACCCCTCTACTCACAGTGGGGATGGTAATCAGGCCGTGGCAAGGGAACCATGACCATGGACACCAGCATTGAAGTTGGTCTGATATGTTTTGCAGGCTTAGCCTCTCAATTCACTGACCCTACACCCCGGGAACGGTCTGGATCGTTCCTTGGGTGTGATGTTCTTTGAGACCACAGCGCGAGTTGGGCTAGGAAGCCAAAGATCCAAGAAAAGTCTGCCAAATTTCTAGGGGTTCATTCCAAACATTATTTTCACTATGGTTCTTTTCAAAACCCGGAAAGAAACCAAGCCCATGTGTCATGTCAGGAAGTGAAACTCTCAAATGTTCCTTTGCATTGTGTTCAACAAAACACACACCCAAATTGCAAGGTGTGCTTAAGTCTAAGGGTGGGCCGTTGATTCCTTGCTCATTATCTTCACCCACAGTTGGTGCGGCTAGATCAAGGGATTCCTTTTGGCGTCCTTTGGGATGCCCATCGAAAAAGGGTACCCGCCAGAACAACAAACAACACATCGCGAATTTCTGGGATATTCTCTCTTTTTGTTGGTGGCTTGCAAGTTGCTTCAAAAAGGACCACCACATATTCGGTTTGCCCGTTTTCTTTCAAGGATTCCATTTGGTGCCAATGTGCCTTGTCGGAAGTCGCGAATGTTTACCCCATTCTCTACATCGACTTGGTGGACGAATGGGTTGCTTTCCCCAAAACATGAAGGACCCCTCCTTTCCCGAAAAGGGAGCTGCGCAATTCCTGGAAGTCTGCAGCTTTCTCCTTTCTCCTTTGCTTTTCTTTTTCCTTTCCCTTGTCCTAGACCACCAAAACTCGGGGGAAGGGGGGGTAGCTTTTGCATCTCTGACACCCACATGTCACATGAGTCACAATCAAAGCCCGGGTCAGCGAAGGTTAGCAAGGGACTATCCCAATCGTAAATAGCTGCGGATGTCCGCCTTCACAATTCTTGAAGCGTGGTTCTGGGATTACGCACATTTTTGAATCCCGGGTTTTCTGGGGTGGACTTAGGATACATTTTACACTTTACCAGAGACTCACAGTGAAGCAAACCATAAAATATGCATTCTAGGCCTAACTCAAATCATGTTTTGATGGCTTCTTTTTGGGCCAAAAAAACCACCCGTGGTTCTGGTGGTATGGCTCACATGGGCCAAAAGAAAAGATCGAAACCTCTGGGTCTGGTGGTAGACTGTGTTTTGGAGCCCCGCGTCCGCACCTCGGCGATTGGCGCGCGAGGTGCTGGTGGTGTCCCTGGGCACCACCGTGCTCCTCTTCAAGGCTCCTCAGTGCTACGCGCCGAGCCCTCGGATCTCCTCTCCCCTCCTCTCCCCGTCTCAAAAGGGCTGCGTGGTGGAGCAAAGGCCTTTGGCCTGCAACCCATTTTGTAGGCCTAAATTTGGTTTACCCAACCCAACCCATAGCCAGCATAGTACAAGCTTCTGCCAAAAACCATCGGGGTGTCCCTTGATCAACTTCCAAAGAGAGACCAAAGGCGGGACCTTTGGCATCCTCCGAACTTTGCTGCACAGGTGGGTCGAGTGGCTTTAGATGGCTTTACAATGGGGATGACTCCTTTTCAGAAACACGGTGACAAAATCACTCTGACGCCTGATTTCTTGGACACTCCAGATCAAATCTCCAGCTAGAGAAGTGAGTCCCCCGGGATTTGAACAGCACCTTTTGGCAGGAGTCAACAACTTCAGGTGACCCTCCTTACAAACAGGTACCCCTTCACGGCAAAACAACACATACGATTTTCATATCCATCGTCTGACAGGATCGTCCTTAGAGTGTTTTGTCGTGATTTGGGGGGCCTGAGTTTGTCCTTGGCATTGTTTGTTCGTGCCTTACCTGGGTTTCTCAGAAAGTGAGCCCCAACCAAAACCTGGTGCGGGTCGGCTGAATATCCTTGTATCGTGTTTGGGCATTTGTTCATGGGATTTCCTGGAGGCGAACAAACTCGCAGCTCTGCTCTTGGTTTCAACCGTCAAGCCAGTTGTACCCGCTCTGACTTGGGCGGTTCACGCTGGTTTTGATATCCGTTGGGACTACGGCCCTCTTCGTTGAGCCTACCACTTCGGCATGTCTGGACCTTCTAGCGATTTTCTTAGGAAGCTGCGAGAGGATAAATACTCCCTGTCTCACCAAATGGGTACGTCGTTTTTAGGGGAGCCAAGATGGTGGTGTTCCTTTTGGCTTCCCTTTAAAACCACAAAAAAAGAGAGAACAAGTATCCTGATAAAAGGCACTTCCAAATCATCTACCCTTACGAGTCCTGAGGGGCTCTCTCTGGATGGCCCCTTTGGACCGATTCCCTGGAGCCTTGACTCCCAGAAGTGACTCCTGTAAAGCAAACAAGCTGACCTGCTGGTTTTGCTTGAAACAAAGCCGCTAGATAGGCAATTGCCAACTCCAAACGGGTATGTGTCAAAGAAGGGGGGACAACCACCACCCCCCCGAAGCATCCACAAATCACATCTTTGATTGGTTATCATCAAAACACCCAATTTACCTGGGGAGGCTGGTTAGGGGCCGTCATAAATCGCGTAGATGACCATCTCAAGGGCTTCTTCTAAGGAAACCATGACCAGGACCCGTATGTTGGGGTTGGGGCTGTTTCTGATGGTGTGATACTGTGGATGGACAACAATATGCCCCACTTTCAAAACTGTTGGTTGAAACCATGGTTTGCTGAGATTTACCTTGGGGAATCCAATCATTCCGTTGGGTTTCGTATGGGTTTCGCCACCATCAGCACGCTGAGGTCCTACGTCCTGCCCTCCACGGGGCTGCTGGAGGGCATGACCCACAGGAGCTCCTCACCTCCGGAGTTGAACTTTTTGATTTTTTTTGGGGGCTTGGAGCATTTTGGTGGTAGACAAAAAGTTTGGGGACCTTTGTTTTTTTGGGCCATCCACTCAGCCAGTGAGGCTTCTTGTTGCTGGTGCTGGCGGAGCTCTTCAACATGCCACTCGCCCGAACTCGCGAAGCCGAAGTCGAATTCAGCCGAAGTGCCGAATTGCCTGGTGAAGCTGTGTCTCTGCTGGTGTTGCTGGTTTATTTTTTTGTTCAATGCTCAACCCGGTGAGGTTGTGTGTGTGTGTTGTTGGGTTTGTTGTTCAACGTGTTTTCTTTTTTTTCACGTGGGTAATGAAGTTACGACTCAAAAAGAGAGTGAATTAAGGAATAGAGTTAGCCTCGCTCCCTCAGTTCCGTTTCGGACTTTTGTCACTTTTCGAGTTTGCGCCATGTTAGTCATTTTTTGGGCTTGGTTGCCACTTTGGGTTGGTAAACAAAGAGTTCAGTTCCTTTTCCTTGCCAATCCATATCGGAAGTGAGTTAGTCAATCCTTTTCCCTTCGTTGTGTGGTTTCCCATAAGGCTCACCCAACCTTGCGACTTGAGACGAATTGACGCGTTTGAAGCGTGGCTCGTCCATGGCCTCTTCAACCATTTTGAGACAGACACAGGCGAGGGGGTCCTTCTGTACAGACCGCCCAGAGCCGTGATAGCCATGGTTAAAACAAATAATTAAGAGGAACATCGACGACTATTGTTGATCAGCCTTTCAAGAAAAGGCCGTCTTTCTGGACCTCACTCTGAGCCAATGACCGTCAAGGGGACTTCCATCAGGCGGTGTTGTTTGTCTAAATTTTTTGGGCCCCAACGAAATGGCGGTCCCCCTTGAACTTCCCTAACCAACCTTAAGAGGGGCACCCTCAAAAAAAGACACCCAGATGGGGGGGTTTCCCAAAATCGGGAGCTTCCCTTCCAAAACCAACCCACAAGGCGCTCCCGAAGGCGCAAGCCATCGACCAGGTTGGCCGCGTACCCTTCCCAGACCTACACCCACTGGTGGACTCTGAACGGCTGGGAGCCCGGCGAGATTGCGGCCTTCGCGCTGCTGGCCCCTCGCTCTCGCAGACGAATGGCTCGCTTTGCTGGTCCGTTTTTTTCGGGCATTTTCGGTCCAGAAATGGCCGTGGTTGTCAACATCCAATGGGATCCCATTTTGGGGCAGGTGAATTCACCGGCCATTTTTCTCGATTTTAGTGGGGATTGGGATGTTCGCTGGGGGTATGGGATTTTGACCCATGGCCAAATCATGGAAGCGGACGATCGGGGGTTTCTCCAAGAGGAAGATGGTCCTCCGACTCCCTCCGGTCGGCTTCCATGTTTGTTGGAGGGAGGGTACTGTTGTGGGAAGCTTCACAAGGAACCCAGACGAAAGCAACCCTATTTTGACATGCACCCCGTGACATGAGCAGCGGTCAATATTTACTGTCATCAAGGAAACGGCATCCAAAATATGATTCGGGAACGTCAGGGAATAGGAGTTACTAAAATCCCATGTCACTTGGAGACAACAAATATTGACACCCCCTCATCTGCCTATTCTATGGTGAGGTCAGGATTCCAGGCGAAACCGAGCTAATTCCATGAAGGTCCTTAGGGATCCCTTTCTTTTTTTCGAACTGCAGAACTATGGGGAGATGTCCACATCCATGAATGGAGCCCAAAGGCGATTCCTCTAGGTTGTTTTTTGGGTATGCAGCGTCCCTTGGGCGAAAGGAACATGCACCAGAAAGGCTGAGCCTTTCGACATTCCAGTTCGGGGTGGGCAAGTCACTGGAAGTGGTGTCTGAAATTCCAGAGGAAGTGTTCCATTTTGTCCAGATCCCCACAACTCTTTCTTCCTCCCCCCTAGCAAAGCACGATCTCACCTGCAAAGGGTTGCGACCGAAGCCTGCGAAACCAGCCCTGAGCAGTGTTGGTCGTCATGGCAACCCACAGGGCGCCTAGCCGACGTGTCTTTCCAGTTCCGGGTAATGGCAACTGGATTTTGCCCACGGCTACCCGAAATCGCCTTTCGGAAAGAGGCTCCTTCGACGAGCTCGCTAAATGTTTTTTCACTTTGCAGGGGCAAGACCAACCCATAAAGCGAGCACACTGGCCACTTTCTGGGTACGAATCTCGCTCTTGCCATCATGAACAATCTGCCCCCATTTGCCACCATCACAGCCATCCCCAGCCCCTAAATTGATATTTGGGAGCGGTGTGAGCTGCGCATGCCCAGCTAGAGTTCCATTGGGAAGACAACTGAAACGGAAGTCAAGCACCACTTGTGTCGCAGCATAGTGAACAACATGTGATTGTGCTGGTTTCCTTCATCAAGGAGTTGAACATTGAAAAGGAAGCAAGAGGGACCCTTCACTCCACTCCCCCCGATCCCCCGAAGCCATGTTGAGACAAGCCTGCGACAAGATCTGGGGTTTGGAGCTTGGCTCGGAAAGAGCCAAGGATGGAGGGATTGGAACCCCACAACAAGGTTCCCCCCAAGAAATCCCTCAGCCGAAGTGGTTTTGGTTGGGAGAAATTAGGGCCAAAGGACTTCGCTTGATGCTTCAAATTCCGTGAGCCGTCGACCTGCTACTGTAAGACCAAGTGCTCCACTGACAACCTCCTGAAATATTGGGGGGGGGGGGGGTTCAGCTAGTGATGTCGAAATGGTTTGAACCGTGATGCACTTCTCGTCAAAACACCGAGGTTCAGGGTGACTTGGGAAGCAGGACCCCAACAAAGCGGAAGCCAACTTTGCGCAGTTCAGTTCTTCCATCCTCTGAAAGGTGACCAACCCCTAGGTGCGGTCCCTTTGGCTTCCTTCAGGGACCAATTTGTGGATCAGGTGTTCACTGTTGCTGGCATGGTTTTTAGGGTCTTCGGTTCTTGGTTCTGTTTCTGTGGTTCTGTTTGTGGGGCCCCTCGGTGCCACGCCAACTGCAAAGCAACCCCTTGTGGCCGAAACTGACCGCGCAAGACCCCCGGGTTAAGAAGCCATGAGGCCGCAGGCCAGCCACGAAGGATTGAGTGTCTTTCTGGGATTGAAATGCCCGGTGTGCATTTCATTCCCGGCTGGCTGTTCATTTCTTCGGGAGGCCATAGCAGGGGGCTTCTCAAACTGGTGGACGGATTTTTTGGGGCGGTTTAGCGAAGCAACACAAAGTCAAGCAATTATTTTCAGAAGCTCCCGTGTTCTTCAGACCATGTTCCTCGGTCGGGTTTCACCGAGATCGGGGTTTGGGCGCCTGTGATGCTCTCGGTGGTCTTCAGCCTGTTGGCACGCATGCACCTCGGGCATTTTGCGGTTTTCGTTTTGGGGGCTGACCGTTTTGTGCTTCCTCTCTTCTTCTTCTTCTTCTTCTTCTTCTTCTTCTTCTTCCTCTTCTTCCTCTTCTTCTTCTTCCTATTCCTTCTTTTTTGGGGGGAGAGGGGCTGTGTTTGGGGTCGGGGTGGGTTTTGCAGATGTTTCTCACCAGCAGCTAAAAGTTTCGGGTCTCTGCCCAGATAGGCTCCGGAGAGGTCTGGAGCAGATCCCCACCTTTTGTTGGTTGCCTTCTTTTGCGATTTTTGCGGAAACAACCCCTTTGAGCATATTATGGGTACGTCTAGTTTTGAGGCTACCCTGTTGGGTTTGCAGGGAAACCAATGGCATGTTTCGGCTGTGGGGGCTTTAGAAGCCCAACTCTATGTCCCTCAGAATGGTGGTTTTAGACCTCTTGTGCGAAGGCTTCAAGTTCATTCGCGAGTCTCATGATGCGTTCAGGTTGGAAAAACATCGAGAACTCAAGTTCGAGAGCCCACGATTCGTCATTCGGGGTCCCAAACGCGAGACTGCGGCAGGTGGGCTCTTCAAAACTACTTTGGGGCTAGGTCCCCCAGGTGGCCCTTCTCTCCCATTTCATTTTTGGTTGGGAGGGCTCCCCTACTACAATAGGCTACAGGAAAAAAATCGGGTACCCTTGTTCTAACCTCTCTACTCAAAAACCTAGGGGGTGAGTTTCATGTGGGGGTTGATCAAAAGGCCCTTTACACTGATTGGGCAAAGTTACCCATGGCCATTTTGGGGCCAAGAGTATTGATCAAACCCCACCTTCACCACTTGACCCTGAAAACCCTCTCAAAGACCCTGCAAGCCACACGGTTAGTGCTTGCGGCCTCGGAAATCGGACGTTGGATTGCCAGAGCGATGAGATGGGAGATGAAGGAAGACGAAAGAAAGAAGCCCACAAGAGGTCTAAAACCACCGTTTATGCCCTTCATGTATTTGGTATCCAATGTTGGTACCCGATGTTTAACCCACAGGGTTTCGTCTGCCTTCGGTGCCCCTTTAAACCGGCCCCAAAAAGGGTCCCCTTCAAAAAAGACAGACCCAAATAGCCCATAAATGTGAACTTCAGGAAGCCCATAGATTTTCCAGTTGACCAAGTTTCAACCCCCACCTTTGGTCGTGTTTCTTCCGCGGGTTTGTGGGTCAGGAACCGCTGGGGCCCCTGGGCCATGCGCGACTTCACCTGCCTCCTGCCCCCGGGCGCCCTTCTGCGGACGCCCCTCGGCTCGATTTCTTCGGCCGGCCTCCGGCGTTTGGTGTCCGGCCGGCGCGAATTAAGCGGACTGTAATCTTGCGGCTCAGGGAATGAGAAATGGAATGAGCCCCAAAAACGGTGGTTTCCTATAATTATACGGGAATCCCCAGGTTCATTCCATGTCCAATTCGCTATCGCACCAGCTAATGTTGACCCCGGGGACCCCGGATTAATCAACCCCCTGAGGGGGCGTCCATTTCGGGGTTCAGTGGGAATTCATCGTTTTAGGGGAACACCCCCATCAAAGAAACTGGGGGGGTTAACCTTACCCTTTACATGGAACCTGACGATCGGACCATTTTCCTTTCAAAGGCACCGACGTCAGGCTCCATGCGAAAAGGGTGGGGAGGGTAGGAGTTGAGCGAGTTTGCCATGTAGTCCTTGGTGCAAGTGGCGCCTGGCCTATGCAGGTCAATTCAGGATGTAGTTGCGACTCCTTAACTAGGTCCTCCAGTATTAAAAAAAATCGGGTACCCTTACTCTAGCCTCTCTCACAACTACTTCTGCCGCCCACTGACATGAAACCCAAGAGGAGGTCCTTTGAAGAGGAAGTGTGTCTTCCAGCCTCCCGCAAATTGGTTGGGACAGATACATGCCCCTGCAGGACCTAGTTAACTTGTGGATGGATTCTGTTAATTCTGCAGATTCCAAATTGTGACTCATGTGGATGGACGAAATCCCTTGCGCATCAGCGGCTTGATGGGGGCCGGTCAGAAAAAAAAAAAAGCCAAGAACCGAGAACAGTCAGTGGTTTTTCTTCGGGCATGGGAACAGATGTTACATGGAGAGGCCAGAATCAACCAACTCAGTATGGAAAAAGGGTCCTTAGATTTCGCAGATGCCGGATCAAGCATGGCTCGATTTGGGCATAAGGGTTGTGACTTCCATGGTGCGGGTGGGCAGCATCCCTTTGTTTTCGCAAAAGATTTGCGGAGTCGGGGGCAAAGGTCCCTTTGAGAGGGCGCCTTCCAAAAACCCAAGACTCACAGGCCGTGGATTTTCACACTCAATGTTGATCAATGGGCTCTTGGACGTTGTTCAGCATGGATACTGATTCACGAAGCTTGGAATCGACAAAGCAACCACTATAAATACTGTGCAGAAGATCTAGCAACGGATTTCAAGTGGATTTCTCCGTCAATATATAGCCCGCTTGGCTGACGTGGCTTGACCGCGGGTCCCAGGCTGGCTTTGTGGGACTTGGGCAACTTGCACTACCGCCCTTTGGATCGCCAGGGCACTGCTTGACACGTCTCTCACGGCTTCCAAACCCGGGGCGAGGGGTTCTCACCCAAAGAATCCAAGAACAGGGTCCGGTTTTTTGCCCCATGCTTTGACTGCCTAGTCCCAACCTTGATTGCGATTTGAATCTTTAGACTTCAACTTTTGGGACATCTCTCGGGCTTTCCCTTGAACCCGACAAACTGCGAAACTTTTTGCGGGTCTCACCAGCAACCAAGCAACCACGCAACCTGTCAATTGGCCATCCGATCCATCCATCGTGGCCCATTCTTTGGAACTGAGCCAATTCATCATTCTAGGGACCTTCCATTTCTGCCTATTTTATGGCGAGCTCACATGCGGGTATAGCGAGCTCACCACGATAAAGGTCCTCTACTTGGGGATCCCTTAGTTCAGCTTTTGGAATTATAGTAGAATTTGCATTCTTTCCAGGGATCTTCTTTCCAGAAAGCCTCCGGAAACCGCGGGAAAACCGATCAAAGAACGATGGTTGAGAAGAATGGAAAGGGAATCAACCCCTAGAATCATGGACCCACAACTCACATCCCAACCTAGCTCAGGACTCGGTTCTGGAAATCCTGTTCTGGGCTTCCCATTTCTGTAGGGAACGTTGGCCAAGTTGGTGCAACCGATCTTGAAGCCAACAGATCGGCAAATGAGGAATTTGCCATAGACACTTTGGCTGACCAGACAGCTGTGGTTGAAACCTGAGACAAAGCAATTCTGGAACCATGGGAGTCCTAGCATCTTTCAATATCTTTCATTTGCTGAAAACAATATGTTTCATTTTCCCCGGTTGGTTTTACAGGGAATGTATCACTAGTGGACATGTTTTCTCATTTCTTCCAAAAAACAAATGAAGGATATTTTGGGAAATGTGAAATGTAAAAGTACACTCTCCTAGGGAGCAGGGTATTCTGATATCCCCCCTGAATCACACCACCTAGGGGAGTTTGTTTAAGGCCGATGTACCCTATATGAAGGTTGGTTCCAGCTTGTGGGTATTTCAATAATTTCCTTCGACAAATTCAGGAACCCTACCAAACCCTTAAGGACCCCTCTCCCCCCAAACCATTCAGGCCTGCCTAAAATAGCTCCTTGTTGCTTTCTGATCACCCTTGATCAATACGCCCCAAGGGAAGTTTGAACTGCGTGCGGCTGGTTGGGTCCTTCTCGAAGGAGACAGAACACCAAGCATTCAAAGCAAAACAGGAGGATAGGGCCTTCTTTGTTCCCGTGTTTTCTTCCGGGATTTACGTCAAACCAAACATATCCTTTGACTTCGGGTGCTGTGGGGGTGGTTATCAACCATATGGGCGTGCCTTTTTTGGAGTTGATGCCAACATTGGAGGATAGGACACCAAATGACACTGAAGCCCATTTTGGGGGTTCGGATTCTGGCAAAAGTCACATTGTTTCTACCCAATTGTTGGGGTCACCCGCTTGTTTTAGGAACCAGCCTCCAAAAACGCTGAAGCCCATTTGAAAAGCTCGGATTCCTGAAAAAAAAAAAAGACGCACAAGTCACTTGTAAGGAACGTCAAGGCCGCTTCACCGATCGGAGGCTCCCAGATCTTCGTAGTGGCCGTGCTGCTGTCCGTCTGCGTGGACGTGGCGCGGGGCGCGGCGGTGTGGAGCTCCATCATGACCATCCTGGGCCTGGGGCCTCGAGCGAAATCCGACGGTCGTCTTCCCCGGTGGCCCAGTGGCGCCTTTAGGGTTTAGGGGTTAGGGGTTTAAGGGTGAGGGGTGGCGCCCTTTTGGCCCTTTTTTTCTGGGGGGGGGGGGGGAAGGGGTTCCCCTTGTTTTTCCTTTTTTTTGTTGGGGGGGGGGGGGGGGGGAGGGGCTCCCCTTTAAAGTCAACCAACCAAGAAAGGATGCCGATTCTTTCTTTCCCTTGGCCACTGGACATCTGAGCCCATCGTTCTCTGAAACCACCCATTTTCCCAGGGATTTGGCCTGTTCCTTGAGGAGAAGGATCCCTGCAGAGAATGGGGAAGGTACAGCTAGAGACGGGAGAAGGTCTTCAAATGTTGGTCCGTCACTCAGGGTGATGGTCACCCCACGTGCATGGACGAAATCCATTCGCACCACCCAAGAAACCCTGGTGTCTGTTGATTCCCCTGTAAATGCCAACCAACCATTGGAAAACCATGGTTTCCAAGTGGTGCAGGATTTCGTCCATCCACAGCGTTTTCATCAACCCCAGTTTATTGATAGGGTGTCCATTTCTGGGTTTAGTGGGGAATCAGACTGCTTTTGGAGGGGGGGTTACCCCGCTATTAGTAAACTGGGGTTGATTTGTAGGGGGTCAGCATGAATGTTCAGTGACCCCTGATCAACCGAAAGAGTAAAACGGAGGGCAATGGCAACAAAAATGCTTTGTTGGGCACAAAGGGCTGTCCAAACATTGTTTTCCCTCATCACCAAGTCTCGCAAACTACACCGAGCTCATCCAGGACAGCGTCTCTTACTCATGGCTTCGGCCAAGGGCTCCAAAGATACGTCAGTTGGACCCAAACTCGTTCAAATCTCCAACAGTGGCAGTTTCCACCACCAGTAAACTGCAACCTTAGGGCAACTCCAGGGACTTTTGCTTCTCCCTGCATCTGTCTCTGAACTGGGAACTAACCCGGAACGCCTAGCCATCCCAGAAATTGGAGTTGGTGCTCCGGACTCTGGTCTGACTGTCCGCGATTCAAAACTTACACTCTCTCCCCAAAGAATGGATTGGGTTCTCCGGACGGTTCAAAACGGTCTGGGCGAGTTCTAACATTTCACCAACCTGAAACAAGGAGAGAAGTGTTGAGTCTGCCACTTCATCCACTTAACCAAAACAAGGGTACCCTCACCAATTTTGTGGAGGAGCGAGCCGAGGGAGGCATCGCTGTGCCCATTTCAGGTTGGTGAAATATTAGAATTCACCCAGGCCCTCCGATGTTTTTGTTTTTTGGATAGAGTTTGTCCAGGCCTCCAAAAAGGAGAGAAGTTTTGAACTTGCAGACCATCAGACCATCAGACCCTCGAGCCATTTTTTCGTCCTCATCCCAAAGGGGAATATTCCCCCAATCGCCTTATTTCAGGTTGGTGAGAAAAAAAGTAATTCACCCAGACCCTCGAAAAACTTTTCGGTCCGAGGCAACAAGTGGTACGCCCTGAAGGGCTGCTACATCTGCCTCACCTTGGTGTCCTTCGCCTCGGCGCTGAGCCCTCACCTGGGGCACTGGCTGGGGATGCTCTTTGCCGGAAGCTCCAACCTCTACGTGCCTCGGCAAGGCGTCGTTTTTTTCGAGTCTGGCCGTTAAGGATCCGGTTTTTCGGCAAGGGTGTGTGTGTGTGTGTTTTCTTTCTTTGTTCTGTTTCTCCGTTGTTTTTGTTCTTCGGCAAGGGTCCGTTTTTCAGAAAGGGACGCTATAGGGCCCCCTATTTTACAGTGTTTCTGAAAACGCGGTGATTTCAGACATGTGACGCACATCTATCAGAATTCAGGCTTGTTCTCCATTTGTTAACTCGATTTTTCTCGTTTGTCCTTATTAGATAAAAAAAAGAGCAAGTATAAACTGGGCTTATCTTGGCGCAAAGCCATGAGTTTGAAATGGCACCGGGGGGGGGGGGGGGTCGGCCAAAAAAAATAATGATAAACATTTTTTCCTTTTGGCCGACCCCCCCCCCTCCCGGGACCCCCCCCGGACAAAGACACATGTCCCCAGAAAGCATCTGGATCAAGTCTGTAGAGATGTGCTGTTTGCGCCCTCAGTGGGCATGGCTCGCCAAAAATGCGCCGGATGTAATCAGTGAGGAGTTGACAGAAGCAAATGCACTGCGTCCTCTAAGCCCTTGCATTCGTTTTCTGCGCAATCTACTCCACCATCCCGTGCCCATACGCGAGCTACGGCCCACGACAAGATTCCGAAGCCGAAAGCTAAAGTGCCTCCCGAGAAGTTAATGCAGATCAAAGTGGAACTCGAAAGGTTGAAGGTGAACAAGCTCCAGCTCAAAGAACGCATCGTCATGGCCCAACGCCCACATGGAAACAAAGGCAAAGGCAAGAATTTCTCCAAGAGCAAGTTCACAGGTGAAGGCAAGGGCAAGAACAAGCACTATGAATGACATGTCCACGAAGCAAGAGGCAAGTAGCGGAAGATTCGCATGGCCATACCATATGAACGAGCACGGTGATCTTCCGATCGATGTTGAGATTTTCCTTTCAAGCCGCAATGACGGCGCTAACTAGGTACATGTTTCGGACGGCTGAAATAAAGGAGCGGCAGTTTTGAGGGGGCAATTCTGGGGACAACTTTGGGGACAACCTTGGGGACAAGTTTAGGGGACAATGTTGGGGACAGAGTAGGGGACGAGTTGGGGACAACTTTTAGGGGACAGAGTAGGGGACGAGTTGTGGGCAACTTTGGGGACGAGTTTGGGAATACCAAGGGAGATCATGAAGTGTAGAAGTGTCACACAGGGAGGGAATGTTACGAAGTCTCTAGACAGCCTTTTCATTGCTATCTCGCTCTTTGAGGTGAAGCCTTGGCACCTCTGAAATTAACATTGCTGGTCGCAGCGGCTTGAGATGAAAAAAAGCTCGAAACAGCCGAAAACGCTGTAAAGCCAGGCGTCCCACTCTCGCGTGTTTTTTTTTTTTTCTCGGTTTTTCGTGGTTTTTTTTTTTGTGTGTGTTTTTTTCGGCGAGGATGCGTGTGTTTTGCTGGTTTGGATTTGTGGTTTGGAGTTGGAGTTGCACCCCTGGTTCTTGTGAAGGGTGAATTGGAAACCACCCTGGAACACCTCCAAACCACCAATCCAAACCACCAAAGGAGAGACGCGGAGGGTCTGGTGCCTTCTCCAAAGGCAACGCAAAGGAAACTGTGGCCAGTTTGGAGGTCTCCTGATGTTCTTTGCTGAATGCCAGGGCTGCCTTTTTAAGAGTTCCTATTTGGCCAAACAAATACCACGCAACAGGGGTGTGTTCCTACTTAATTATTAATTGAAAAGTGGTTTCGAATTCTCAATGTTGTTTACACAATCCATAGCTTGGCAGCAGCTCATAAGGATATGTGTCAAATTGTTTGGGTACACCCCAAAAAATGTGGTTTTCGTTTGGGCTTTCCTTTAAAGCGACCCTCCAGAAACACGAGCGCCCAATTACTCGGCTGAGGACAAGTTTAGTTTGGACAAGCCGGTCTCGGCCAAAGGCTCCTTCAGCGAGGCGTGGGCAGGTCCTCGGTCAACCGTCCCCAATTGGGACTTTGCAAACCCAACGGTCCAATGAGGTGCGGCGCAATTTGCTTGTGGTGGCCTTTGATCTGTTGAGTTCCGGTCTTAAAAGAACCGACCAGCTTTTCCTATGGTTCTCCAAAAGTTGGCCTCCATCCAACCAAGACCCTTGGGCCATTGCACTTGGTTGGAGGGAAACCCATGATGCCCCTCGGTCAAACGGGAAAAGCAGCCATACGAGCTGACCCATTGGCACCGTGGCGAGGAACTCCTTGCCGTCCGTGGGCGTTTTTTGATTGGGTTGCACAAACGCCGGGTATACACACATGCCCCCTTTCTGGCAGACGTTCTGGAAGGCGGCCGGGAACCCGTTTCGGGGCAAAGCTGGTCCATGTTTGCCTATGTGTTGATGATTTTCTCCCCACATGCGTTGTGAGCAACCATCAAAAGGCTCATTTGGCAACTTCGTTGGCAGCTGTGGCCTCAATCGGATTTTGCGGCTGCTGCAGTTTTGAGGAATTCGAATTGCATGGCTTTCCGTTGGCTTGCTGGTTTCACCTGTGCCTGTTTTTGCAGCCAGTCTTTCAAAGCTTTCTTTACACCGTCAAGAATTGTGCCTCACTGTTTTGGCCCAGGGTGAAATTAACAAAAGACCATGACTTATCCCGCTGGTTCTCATCAGGGAATGAGGGATGACCCCTACCAACGACCGCCTATGGTTTCCTTTGTGGGGACCCCTGCATTCATTCCCAACACCTGGAACGGTCATTCCCTACCTATCGCACCAGGTTACTTGCCCCTCACTTTCGGCCAAAATATCATTCTTGCACAGCCCAAGCGGTTGACATAGCGGAAGTGAAATCATCTACCCGTCAATGATTCGAGGGTAATTACGCTGGAAAACGACTCAACTATAGACCCTTTCAAGAACATGGAACCTGAACGGGGCTGGAAGACCATGCTCCTCGACTTTCCACGCATGTTTTTTGGGGTGAAAATTAAGCTGAGGGTTTCTGAAGAGACCAACGCTGAGGAGCTTCAGTGCAGTCACGGCACCACAGTAGAAGGGAAAGTTGGCAGTTGTCTTCTTTTCCAGGGACCAACCTACTGTGGATGTTTGCGAAATCCATTTCGCACGAAATGAAACCATGGTTGAAGCCATGGACGTGTTGTTGGTATTTGCGCCGGGGAATCGCATCAGTCCATTAGGTTTCTGAGTTTGTTGGTGCACCACCGAACTCAGAAACTGATTCGCGATTCCAACCAACGTAAATGTCCAATCAATGTTAATAATTTCAACCACTCCTGCAATGATTTGATTCCCCAACGTAAATACCCAACCACCACATATGAAGCCCAAAATTTCCGACGATTCCCTATGACTTCCACCCACGGTATGGTTGCATTCCACCAGCTTGTTTCTCATTCATTTCAGTGGCGCGGGATTTGACTGACGCGTTGACCTCGCGTCAATGAGGCCACCTTCTGGGCGGTAGTGCCGTTGGCATCTTTGAGCCCGGCGCCAAATGGGGAGACCGGCCGGGGAGGGGGGTGGGGAGGGGCGTGTCCGTTTGGTGTTTTGTTTTGGAGCCCAGGTCTAAAAAATGCGGTAACCTTTGGTTGGGGGGGTTAAAGCGGTGAAGTTTGGATTTGGAGTTGGACCCTTGGTTCTTGTAGAGAGTAGATGAGAAACCACCCTTTAATCACTAAACCGTCAATCCAAACCACCAGTTGGGGGGAAGCTGAAAAAAGGGTTTGGGGTTCATAGTTGGAAATCTGTACCCTTGATTTCGTGTTTCATGTCTACTGTATCACTTCGGAATTCCCTTACACCACGGTTTGTGCATCTCAGGGATCTTGCGCATCCTATTCTCTCTTTTTTTTGGTGGGGTTCCCTTCAAGACCAAGAGCCAACAAATGTCCTATGTCCCGCTGTCTCTTGGGAGACCAGCCAAGTAACGGGGATGACCTTTTTGCGACGCCTACAGCTCCCCTTTGCGATGGCTTGTTTGACGTTTGACAGGGTCGATTGGAGGTGGTCTGTTCTTGGTTTGACCGGGATTGTTGAAACATCACTTTTTTGTCGCCTGTTCGGAGAGTACCAAAACGGGGAGGGTGCCGTCCCTTTGGTTCCTCATACCAGGCTCAAAGTGTTTCGGCATCATCAAGGTATTTATGATTTCTGGATGGTTTAAGGTTTAAGCACGCAACCTTTTTGCAACCCCAAGCTTGATGGAGTTTCTCTTTGGTGGGGTGATGTGTCTACGGACACCCTTGCGTGGGGGGTAAATCGAATTGGACAAGTTCTGGAATTCTTTCTGTTTGGAAGGAGCCCCACCACAAACCGAATAAATTGATCCAAAGCACTGTGGATGCGTTTGGAGCGAGAAGGATTGCACGGTCGAAGTAGATGGCGCTTGTGTGGGTAAGGGGATGACGAAGCCAACATCGGCTGCAATTGTGCCGTCTACTTTCACTTTCACCCAACAAACCTGCTGCAAGTTATTGGGGTACCGTAAATGAATGTAATTGAATCACTTGCAATTTCCAGGGAAGCAACCGCACCTTTGTCCAGCGAGACTCTGAGAAACTTACGGCTGAAGGTACCGGAGCATTCCCCTGACCAAAGGGAGATGGGTACGAATGATGGGGGATCCTTTGGTGGTCGGCCCATTCTTGATGGGCAGTCATGTCCGCTAGAAAAGGCGCAACTGCCAAGAGATTCGGCTGCCAACTTTTTTCACATGCCACTGGAGCTTGGGCATGTCCCGCGGCTGTGGAATGGAGTTTGCTTATATGCCACGTTTGGGGGGCACATGGGTGCATCGTTAGCACAATCAGTTGATATGTACACCTGTACATCTCTGCACACCTACGTACACCTTCAAAGGGAATCCTGGGCAAGCTCATCTTTTAACTCGATATCTTAAGTTGGCGAATGTTGATTCATTCCCATCTGGGCAAATTATAACGAGCTCTGGGGGTAAAACATGAAGTCTCCTTGCTTGGAGGTCCCACAATTTGCGCAGAATCAGGCCAAGCTGGTGGCCACTCAAAGAACCTTGCTCTTAAAATTGTTTGATTGAAATTTTGTTTGCGGTACGTTGATTGAACCCCGCTTCTGCACAGTTAATGTCAAGTTGACCCAGTGAGAACACGAGCCCGAGCATGATGAAGGTCCCTTAGAGAACCCTCCAGTCTGCGTTGGTGAACATGGGTGTTTTTTTTTGTTTTTTTGTTGCTTTTTAAGACACCCCAAAATGATGGTGTTCCTTTTCGTTCCAATTGAAACCCCGCATAACGGGAGTTCCTCAAGAAAAGACAAACCATGTTTGGTAGAAAACTTGCAGGTGGGAAACTGTCCAGTTATGAATTACGTGGCCATGAAGAACAACATCTCCGGTGTCCAAACAGGGGTCTAAAATGGCGGGTTGTCCTTTGAATTTCCCTTTAAAACCAACCCAACAGTTGCTTTCAAAAATGCATGTGGCCACGAATCGCGCATGTCTCAACACATGGAAGTCGCTGTGGCGCTCAGGTTATATCCTCCAGATCCTGGCGATGCGTTGCTCGAATGGAAGCTAGCGCTATGTGCCTTTGGAGTTGGTACCCTTGCCTCTCACCGGGAAACCAGAGGAAACCTTGGCCAACTCAACCCCTAGATATCATTTTGGGGCAATCCGATTTCAAGAAAAACCCTCAAATGCAAGGCACAAGGCGCCATTTTCTCCCAAAGGGTCGTCTTTGACCATATGGCGCTGTGCCTCAGCGTTCCCCCTAGAAAAAAGCCCTCAAATTTTGGCGGGTCTTTAGCGGGGGCCCGGTAGGAATTGGCCCCAAATGTCCCACACATGTGCGCTTTGAAAGATCCTGATTGCTTTTGAAGTCGAGTTCCTTTCCACCCATGCCACTTGAATGCAAGAAACTCCCCAATAAAGGGCTAAATAGATACACACCTTAGTTTTCCATACTTTAGTTCTGTTTTAAAGTGGCCGACCCTATTCCCAGTTCTTCAACAGCCCGTGAGTAGATGTGGAGCCTATGGGATCGACCTCTCAACAAAGCCTGCTTTCTTTCCTTTCCTTTTCCTTTCCTTCTCCTTTCCCGGGGTTGCACAATTCATGGAATTGTGCAGCTTTCTCCTTTCCTTTCTCCTTTCTTTCCTTTTCCTGTCCTTTTCCCTTCCCGGAGCTGCACAATTCCTGGAATTGTGCAGCTTTTTCCTTTCCTTTACCTTTCCTTTCCTTTTCCTTTCCTTTTCCTTTCCCGGATTTCCTTTGCTGTCCTTTTCCTTTCCCGGAGCTGCACAACTCCTGAAATTGTGCTGCTTTTTCCTTTCCTTTCCTTTTCCTTCTCCTTTCCCTTTCCCAGAGCTGCACAATTCCTGGAATTGTGCAGCTTTCTCCTTTCCTTCCCTTTCCTTTTCCTTTCCTTGTCCTGTCCTTTTCCTTTTCCTTTCCTTTTCCTTTCCTTTTCCTTTTCCTTTTCCTTTCCTTTTCCTTTCCTTTTCCTTTCACGGAGCTGCACAATTCCTGGAATTGTGCAGGTTTTTCCTTTCCTTTCCTTTTCCTTTCCTTTTCCTTTCCTTTTCCTGGAATTGTGCAGCTTTCTCCTTTCCTTTGTATATAACAAAGTCAAGAAAAGCCACGCAATCCAGTTGATGTTACATTGTGAAGTATAAATATGTCATTGTTTGGTGACACCTTCACCAAACTGAGATACAACCAAACCAGGGATACTAACTCGTTGCAAGATTCACTAGATAGATTGACCATCTGTGTTTCAAAGAGCAATCCAATTCATCTGTGTTTTTTGTCACGCTTTGTTTGTTGTGTCCATGTTGAGGCTACTTCAACAACGACATCTTGACCTTCAAGGGTCATGGAAATCTCCTACCGGACGGCACTCGCACAGGTGCCAGACCCCGCAGTCGGTCTTGTTTTTTGTCACAGACTCGGCCATGTTGGGCAAAGGCCAGGGGGCCCGTGTACTCCCTTTGCGGTCTCAAACGTCACCTTTTCGGCCAGGTGCGTTTCCTGTGGTGATGTTCGGTTGGAAATGTCAGGAACCCTGAAGGGTGGGTGCAAAAACCCCGGGGTCCCTTAAAATGATGTTCCGTGTTTTCCAAAACTTGGGAGAGAGGAGGCTGGGCAACCCGTGAGGGCATCTATTGCCGGCCAACCCAGGGCCCTGGGTTGGCATTCAGCAGGCTCTGACCCTCTTTCGGAAGGGAACCAAGAGGTTCTTTCAACAGTTTGCTGGTTTCAACAGTTCAGACGTAACTCATTTGCCTTTGAGCCTCTTTTCTTTTTTCAGCTTAACCCCTGTGCACATGTTTGGGTCCCACAAAATCCGAAAGAAAAGTGAGCCAACCCCCCGCAGTTGTTTTGCCTCAAAAACGGGTCCCCCGCCCTCCCCACCCCCCCGGTACAAGGGTAGTTCCTGCCCTATGTGTGCGTTTTGAGTCCAAATGGTCATATGAGGCAATGCTGCTGCCATGTGGGCCGACACAACAGCAGTGCTGGTGCTGGTGCTGGTGGTGATGGTGATGGTGATGGTGATGGTGATGGTGATGGTGATGGTGATGGTGATGGTGATGCTGGTGGTGATAGTGATGACGATGCACGGTATCCCGTGACATCCTTCCCACGCACTTTCCCCAAAAGAACAAGTCTGTAATTTCACAGACTCCCAAACTAGCACATTCTCGCACTCGCCGAGAATTCAATCGACAGCAGCTGGAACCGCCTTGCGGAAGCAGGTACGAGCCAATGTTGCTTGCTGTTCAACTGAACGCAAAGGTGTTTCCTTTGACGTGTGCAGGCGCGCTGAGAACACGTGATGCGCACCTTGCATGTTGCATCGTGTCCTTTTCGGTTTTGGCTTGATGCTCCTACTTTTTGCATATTGCATTTCACGCTTTTTGCTTCAGTTGTTTAGGCTTGCAGAAATGACGCCACTGACAGGAATTTTGCTGCTCGAATCTGCGTGGTCGAGGCTCACGCCTTGACATCGGCAGGGCAGGAAATGAGTCACCGGTGCGGCGCGCCACATTGGGCGCAAAATGCCCTACCCCCCCCTCCCCCAAAAAAAAGAGAAAGAAGCAACAAACACCTTTTTCCTTTGCCCCCGGGCCCCTCCCCTAAAAAGCGCCCCGACGCTCGCGAAGAACAAAGCGCTTCGGGCCCCAGGCGCCGGCTCCCAGATGGAGGCCGTGCCCACGAAGCAGGTGAAGCGGCGCCGCAAGGCGGCGCTCAAGCCGCAGGTGCAGGACACGGCGACACGCCGCCCGTGCCAGGTGCATCGAACCCCCGTGTTCTGGTGTTTTCTCCCCTTTTGCTCCTAAGGGGAAAGGACCTTCTTCTGTGTTTTCGGGTGTTTTTCTCTTCTTCCTTTTTTCCGTGAGGGGAATGGGAAAAGATGGTATCTTGGTGGCTCCCTAAACTGTTTTTAGCTTGTTGCTTGGTTGAGTGGTTAGGTGTCCATTTCGCCAATGAAAAGGTAGACTTTTAGGAGGGGGTCTGAGGACAGCGCAGGTATGACAGAACAGTGTTCCAGCGCCATTTTCCCAACTTCGTTGGGCTTCATTGAACGTCAACTATTGGGCCAGTTTTTGTGGTGAGTTGTCGTTTGGGGTGAAGAGGAAGTCTTGGGAACAATTCGGATGTCCTGAAATCAGGTTTTCCCGTCAAGTAAGCCATGGTTACCTGATGTTCAGAGGGAAATTCCCGTGAGTCCTTTTTACTTTCCCTTTAAAGCCATACAAACATGGCACCCCCGAAGAAAGACTCCCTCTTGAACTCACGAAAGAGGGATCCCGATCCATAGGCAAAACGTAGGCTCACTACCTGTTTGCAGAAGCGGTAGCAACAAGGAGCCCGCAAACAAAAAGGGTCGCCATTGTTTGTCATTTTCCGTAGATGTCTTAGAAAAAACTGAAGTCTTTCCTCCTTTTTTTGGGCCCAGCCATGAACCACCCTGGTTTCCACGTTGATTTCCCTTTGCACAGTGCGGGCTCCGAAAAGTCACATGTTTCCCCACGCCGAAACCGTTTCCGAAGCTGGGAGTGAGCCGCAGGAGAAAAAGAAGAAGAAGGAGAAGAAGAAGCATGACTTCAGCGTCTGAGCTGCAATAAGTAATCTGGGTGTGTCTTAAAAGGGGGACCCCCCTAAAAGGATGGTAGGTCCTTTGTTTTCCTTCAAACCGACCAAACCAAAAAAAACAGACCCGGCTGTGAAATGATCCAGCCAGACTTGAGGTGAGGTCGACCGGTTCCTGTGTCAAGAGACATACCCCTGAGGTTCGTACTGGTGCCTTGGCTTTCTGGTGACCAACCCACTTTACACATAGGTATCTACCACTTTTGGGGCGAGCGTGATATGGTATGCACGACAGCAAGCCTCAACAGGCTCCTGTGCCGTAAGCACAAACGAACCTGGACATCAGATTTCCAGGGTCTTCCAGGCGTGGAAAGTGGAACCCCGCAATTTCCGAGGCCCTCCCCTCCCGATGCTGACAGGTGCTCTCCTCGCCAACGGCCAGCTGCCGGTCTTGGACACCATCCCTGCCGAGGAGCCGCGCGCCGCTTCGGAGCCGCGCGACATCGCCGCTTCGGCGCCGCAGCCGCGGCTTCCCTCGCTGGGCGTCTAGGTCCCCCGGGCGGTTTTTGGACTCCTCCGGGTTCACAATGACTCGAGATGAGAAGAGTAAGGTCCCCTTCTCTAGGCGCCCTTCTCTACCGACCTTTTTTTGGGGGAGGGTTCCCCTACCCTTGTTCTAACCTCTCTACTGGAGGACCTAGGCTCGCTCGTTCGTCTTCAAATGGAAAGGATGGGGGGGGGGCCTACCCAGTGTCCTTAGGGGGCGTGCCCACATCAACCATTGATAGGCAATGTCCATCACTCATGTGGGTGTTTCTAAAAGTTGGGGACCGACCCCTCCATCGTTTGCTTTTGGTCTCCTAAAACCATCCCAAAGATGGTTTGCTCTTTGGTTCTGTGCAGTTTTAGTGGCAAAGAGCTGCCAAGACCATTCAGTTCTTTTGGTCATATCATCCAGGGAATGGAAAGTCTAGACATGACCATCTTCCCAAAAACAGGTGCTCACTCGACCTTTTGACCTTTTGGTTTTCCCCTGTTTGTCTATGTTTAGTCAAGGTTCAAAAAGGTCAACCTTCTATTTCTGGCAAGTGAGGGCGGCAAACTAATGAGCGGAGATTCAGGAAAGAGAGGGTCGGTAGGGTTGGCCTTTGAACACTATAATGATTGGCGTGTGGACAGCGTTTAGACAACTGACTCGTGAGATGCCTGCACAAATTGTGGCGCCCGATCGAGGGTAAAACGAGCTCACAACTTCTCATCAGAATTGCTGCAGATACTATCAGCCTTTGGACATCCCAAAAGTCAGGTCGGAAAGTGATGTTCACCTTGATTCCGTGATGGACAGAATCCACTTCGCACCACTTGGATGAAACCCTGTGATTGGGATGCACTAGCTACCATTCGGAGCAACATTTTGTGTGTCCACCGCCAGCCTTCGCGACCGCGGGCAAACGTCGGGAACCCAGAGGATGCTTGCTTCAAGTTGTTCAATGGATTCCACCCTCAACTCCGCAAATCAAATGGTTCGTCACAAACCAAAAATGGGTCCCAACCCTGACACGTGCAGCCAATTCTAGTTCTATCTTTTGTGGGGTGGCGGGGGGGGGTTCTGCGCAACGCAGTTGCCAGCTGTTCCTCTCGTTTTTGCCGAGCTCTCTTCATCAGCCAACCAAAAGGGTGTCCATTTCCCCCCTGGCAGAAGGTCTGGGTCTTCGGGACGGGGGTTTAGACTCACCTAGCCAGAAGCGAAGTGCAGTTCTTCGGCCAAAGACGACAAGAGTCTCGGCAAGTGGGAGGGACCCTCGAATTTGATGCTATCTCATCCAGAAGAGTGGTTGTGCCCGTGAGTTCAGCGTTTGGTAAAGCTAGATTTGTTTCGTGCGTGTTTGTTCGGAACCAATTGGATGCGGGAGGAGTAAATGTGGGTGATGTTTCTGTACGCTGCCGTTTGTTCATTTGCAAACCTGTTCTGCTTTATGTCTGTGGGAGTCCTCTAATTTTTGCTTGTTTGCAGCGACGAAAGCGAAATGAAGGCCGAAGTGGAAACCCTGGATTCAGGTTGATTGATTCGGGGGCGCAACCCATTTTAGGGCAGAAGCGAATCACGTGTTTCTTGTTTGAGGAGAACATCCCGCTCATCCACAAGGACCACTCCAATCTGGGGTCCACACTATTGGCGAGCCCCTCCCCCCCCCTTCCTCTAATCTACCTTCTTCCGCCACTTCAGACATGGCCTTGTGGGTTATTGAGCCTCTGTAACATAAGAGTTTTGAGCTGCCCAAAGTGGCTAAACATTGATATAGCCCCTTGCCCAGGCTCGGCATTTGTCAAAAGTTGACATTCGTGCTGCGGCCAGGCTAGAACTCCGCTGGAGGCAGTGCAGGACTGGCAAAGCCAGCAACAATGGTTTCCACATGATTTCAAATGAAAATTTCAAAGTGGTGCGAACAGATTTCGTCCATCCACAGTATGTTGCACCTTGCTTTCAACTCCGGCCCTGCTTATCCCAAGACGCTTTTGGGTCCTAATCAGCCAGGACGGATGCCCAAAATACAACGGGGAAGCCCTTTCAGCCCCCTCTTTTTGAAAGGATGCTGAATTGAGCTTGGCCCATTTGTGCAACTCCGCGGCCGCCCCAGCCCCCCAGCCCCCCCCCCCCGGCGCCCAAAATCACAAATATCATCGCGTACCTCCAAAACATGGATTGAGAAATGCATTTAAAAGTTGCCCGAAAGCGCCACAGTATTCGGAATCCTACCTGAACCCTCGAACCCTGAAAGCCTAGAAATCACCCCAAGTCGTTTGGGCCATATCCCATTGTTCAGGGTAGTTCTTCTGATTCAGGCAACCTTCCTTGCTCTACCGTGGTATTTACAGAGGAAGCATCATTCCAGGGCTTCGTAGGTGAGGCAGGATTTCGTCTATCCACAGTAGTGTCGTCATTCGTTCAGTTCGCCTTCTGCTCAACATGTCACAGTTGGGAAGGAAGTGGCTGCTTGAGTCCTTCAACCACCTGTCACGTCACAGTTGATGTGTTTTTTTTTTTTTTAAGGCTGCTTGAAGAACCTGTCGGCGTCTGTTCCTTCGCCGTCCTTTCAACCCCCAAAGTTCGCGGCTCATGGCGAGACTCGCCAAAAGAGCTCGCAGGAGGTGGCCAGCCCGAGCATCTCGCAAGCAGGCGGGTGCCGTGCGAGGGGTGGCATTTGGGGATTTGGGGGTTGGCAAAAGGGGCTGGTATTGGGATGGTTTAGTTTTTGGATGGTTTTGTATGGATTTGGATTGGATGGTCTTGGATGGCTTTGGATGGTTTGGGATGGTTTGGGATAGTTTAATGTTGGGATGATTGTGGATGGTATCGGGCGATTTTGGTTGGTGTTACATTGTTTTGTATGAATTCGGATGGCGTGAGAATCTTGATTGATTCTGGATGTTTGTGGATGGTGCTGGATAGATGGTGTTGGGGTATGTTTAATGGGGTTGGATGGTTTTGTTTGGTGTTGGATGCTGGATCTTGGACTTTGGAGGATCGCGGCTTGGACTCGTCTGGGGCTCCCCTTTGTCCGTCTAGGAGTCCCAAAGTACCACAAATATACTGGTTGGATGATTAATATGGGGTTTGTATTACTGGGGTGTATATATATAAATAAATATATATATGGGGTATATATTACTGCGGTATATATTACTGAGTAATATATTGTGTAGTATCACAAATATACTGGCTGATTGATGAACCTGGGGTCAACAACACAAAACACTTAACACTTTGGCCAGTTCCGCAGCTCGACTGCGGTGAGTTCTGGACTGCCATGTGGCCAAACATCCGGGCAAGCCCGATCGGTAAATGGAAACAGGGACAACCTGCGTCCAATTCCTGATGGTTGAATTTTGACCCATACCCATGGCGCTCATGATCCCACCAGAAGAACCTGGACCTTTTTTCTTGAGAGCAGTTTGACCTTTACCTTGAGGTTTGATGGCAATTTGCAATACATGGACCCTGATATTCAACCAAAGGCCCCCTATCCAGCAAAGATTTGGAGAAACATTCTGGTGGAGGCCCCAATGATTGGGAGGAGCTGATCGCTGCCCAGGTTCATGCCAGCCCGTAAACCATCCCCGAGATCAGTGAGCTCGCCAGAACTGGCAGATTCATCATGATGATTCTCTGGCCAGTGACTGCCAAGGGATACCTCCAAACTCACTCGCTTGCGATCTGTTGCCATACCCAAAGCTTAGTTGAGAACCATCCCTCAAAGTCAGGCAGTGCATAAACGCCTAGCCCTGTTCTTATCTTCTTTTGTTCAAGCCAATTGGTAATTTTGCATATGATCGTCATTGTTGTCGCCATGTTGCTTGATTGGGCGTTTTTTCAAGGGCGTAGGGCACAAGAGCCCGTTCTGGCCCTAAAGAAGGTCACGGTACCTGTCGGAATGGCGACTACTACGAATTAGTTTTGAGAATTCCTCCCGACAGGTTTCCAAGCCTCCCGACTGTGCCATGCCCCCTTTTTTCCCCATAACCGTGGGCATCAGTCAGGACAAAGGCCTGTTGAGCCAGCGGCTCAAGGAACACATACGAGCATGACTACTTGCGTTGTAATGGTCGCTTTGCAGAATCCCTTTCGGGTTTTAGACTCGAAGAATCAGAATGACACTCCTAGTGTATAGCGCATGATTTTGAGCTTGCTGGAAAATTAAAGCCCTTCAAATGTCCATTTCTTTGCAAGATATTCACCCAAAGATCCAACAAATCATTCAGAGTGCATTCCTATTGTTACAAATCCGTATCCTCAACCTCCCCGAAAAGCCATTGGCACATTGCATGCGATGTCCCATTTGCGGAGGTATTTGATTTAGGTTACATGTCCCCCTTTGTCTACAAATGATTCTTAGAGGGTGGACAAATTTTTAGGACCATCTGAGAAATGACTTGGTATGGGTCATAAAGTTTCACCAGGAATGGAACCGCGTGTGTTGCTCCATGTACCAGGGTTCCATATGGGGTACCCATTTTTGGCCCGAATGATTTGCATCGGCTTTCCAGAGCTCCGGGGAGCTTTGGGTTTGGATGCGCATCGGAAAATTTTGATTTGATCTCAAGGGAAGCTGATTTGTTTGGTTTGGCCCGAGGGCATAGATAGGTCCTTTTCAGGTTTGGCTAGAAATAGATGGGCAAGCCACTGGTTTTCCGAAGTTGGTTTTAGAACTACTGTGGATGGACGAGATCCTGCACCGTTCATCTGATTCGACTCCCCTGCAAATGCCAGCACACGTTATTAGTCCCCCAAGGTTCCATTTCGTGGTGCGAACGGATTTCGCAACCATCCACAGTATTTACCAGAAAGAAATCCATGTTTTAGTTTTACCAAAAGGACACTTATACCTCAGAGCGCGTCCTCGGATATTTTTATTTATTTATTTAGTTAGTTAGTTATTTATTTGTTTATTTGGGGGGTGCGACAGGCTCGCCACAGAGCAGAACCATCCGCAGCGGGGTCTCCTCGAATTACACCAGCGCTGCACTCAGCGCAAAGAATTCTCCGATGGA